CTCTCCATCCATCCAAGTAATTCCACGTACAACTATCTGCTCTAGAGCTTCACTACCAACTTCAATCTACTCTGCTTAACACGTCTATCAACATCCCTCTCCTCAAATCCTTTCACTCCATCCATCCAAGTAATTCCACGTACAACTATCTGCTCTAGAGCTTCACTACCAACTTCAATCTACTCTGCTTAACATGTCTATGCTATCTTCTTTACTAGAAACATACTTATTGTACTTTGAAAACAAGCCTCTCAAAACTCAGGATATCTAGTTCTATGGACAAGTAGCCAACCACGCAGACAAATTAATTGATTACTCGTGAAAAGCAATTACACCATAAGCTAATTAACGAAAATTATGATTAATCAATTAATGTCACAAAATAAATCAACTAATTAAAATTACGATTTCCGTCTACCTTAGTGATTTTGTTTAATCAAAATACAGCCATTATGTTATCAAGTATGAAATTAGATAAACAGGGGTTTGCTCATGATTTAATCTCCAGCTCAATTCCCAATGCCAATAAAATTGCTTGCCCATCTTTGTATTGTAAAGCTATTAAGGCTACCTGCTACTGTCACCAACGTTGACAAGAAGGAAGACAGTCTTTGTATTGTAAAGCTATTAAGGCTACCTGCTACTGTCACCAACGTTGACAAGAAGGAAGACAGTCTTTGTATTGTAAAGTTATTAAGGCTACCTGCTACTGTCACCAATGTTGAGAAACTGGCTAACCGGCTACTTGAGAGGTTTTAAATAAAAGCATTATTACCTTGATAAGATATATTTTCATTATTTGATTTACAGGATCAATGGAAGTTCTGCATATTTTAAAAACAAAAATAGTCAACATTAGTGCTTTGTTCATCAAGTAGAAAATGGCCACATTATCTTAATATTTTTTCCAGAAAGATCCAAATTGTGTCCTTCCGAAGAGTTTTATGATATGAAACTAAGAAAAATTGAAACTTTTCTTTTTGTTTACTTGTATAGAGGAACAGCAAGACTAATGCTTATTGGAACTTAAATGATCTCATTGATAAAATACCAATAACTGCACAGCTATACTTGCACAACAATGTTGTGATTATTAAAATATAGTCCTTTCACTACATGATCAAGTTCACGGAACAGTGGACAATAGGGTTCCTACCCTTCAAGTGTCCTACATTTGCACTAGCTCCATCTGCTGGAAAACTTAACTATCATTCCAGGAAAATCCACAATATTATTTCAAGGTGATTCACAATTGCATTTTTTATATTTGGGACTTTAGGCCTCTCAGCAGGCATAATATAAACACAAGTTCACCATTTTTCAGTGTTGCCAGGGTATCCCGATTTATGTCCTTTTTACTGTGTAATAAACATCCTTTATGTACTTGTTTACTGAAACCTTGTCAAATTTGTAAAGCTTCACAAAACATTAAATGTTATAGTATGGTCACAAGAGTTAAACATTCCATCATTTGTTCCTTGATCACCTGGTTTATTAGTCACAAGTACTTACTACATTAGACATTCAAGCTTGAGAAAGTAGTTTCACTTAACTTGTTGTGTCGAGCAGGATTTAAAAACAAGTCACCAAAGTACAAAAACATTTGATTTTGAAACATTTCTGGATAAAATATTCAGCTTAAGTCATTTTAGTTTTCCAGAACCCAGATAAACACTACAGCACACACATTAACCCTAGAGCTACTAGTTTTCCCCAATGGGTAGGGGTCAGAGGGCACATCATCTTTGTAGACTTATGTCCAAAATTTTATTGAACTACTATTTTATGAATGTATGTCAATAAGTTTGGCATAAAATTATAGATAATTCAAATTTTAGTATTATACATTAGTTAATTTCTTAAATTAACAGCAAATATGAAAAAAAATCCTAAATATTAATTTTTGTGTCACATGGCATGTTAAATGCAGCTTTGGTTCAAACTAGATTTTCCAAATTAAATTTTTAAACTTTCTGATGCATAAAAGTATTCTTTATCTCAAAATTACTTTGCATGTTGGATAGTTAACATTTGAAAAGAAAAACACACGAGCAAATCCTTAATTAAAAAATTATATTTTGTACACGAAAGTTTTGTGACGTTTAATGATAATCTGCAAAACTTCATGAAGATATACATACATTATAAAAAGTTATAGCAGGACTGCTCTCATGGTTACTTTGACCATAGTCAGAGTTAAAATTACTATCCAAAACACTAAGAATACATCTCATTTCCAACTGAAAATCAATATTTCAGTATACGTAGTAAAACATGTTTACAACACCTCCAATTTCTCATCTCTTCACAAACTCATGAATTAAGAGATACTGGAAGTTATTCCATAAACTATGTTTACAAGTATATTTCGGACACATTTACCACACTTGAAAAAAAATAATTTAATATCAAAAGTATTAAATAATTTAAGCCATGAAAGAATTAGCACACAAGGACCCCTCCCTCCAGAAGAAGAAGAAGAAAAAAAAAGTAGATTTGAAGTTTAAATTTTGTAATGTGTGAGATACCTCTAACATTTATACAGAAACTAGTGATTTAACTAGTTGGCTATTCGTACAGAAATAAAAAAGAAGAAGCTGTATCTAAAGTTAATCTTTAGTTATTTCCATTGAAAATTACATTATCAAGCTGATACCATCTAATACAGTTTACTAAACAATGATAGTTTGGGTTCCCGTTATATCTATTTAGAAAGAAAATTCACCTAACAAAACGAACACAACTTACGCCTCCTTTGAGCCATCGGGGAGAATAACACAGGGTACCTGCACGTAAAGCTTCGACTTCCACAGGATGGTTTCCCACTTGACATCAGTGTTTTCAGTTAATTTGAATTGAAAGGTCAGCATAATAGCATCCTGGCTGGATTGTTTAGTCAGTTCAAACTTCTATAACAATAACAAACAAACAACAACGAATGATACAGCTCTAGTTTTCACTACCAACAAGCATTACCTGGAACCTGAGAATTACCACTAAATGCAGGTAATATGTATCATAGTTAAGATGGTTTTCTTCAGATATCTTGTAAGGTGCTTGAGATAGCCACACATACACACGGAAGATCCCAGAGGTTTACTAACTGTATTCAATAATGGTTGACAACATTAAGCTCCTCAATTTTGGACATTTGTTTGTTGTGTTTTTTTATTAGAAATAGAATTACAATTGAAAGTAACAGGCTAATTGTTCTAACAAAAGTGCAATTCAGTACTTTTATATAAGACATCAAGCTTTTCTTTATAAATAAAATGGGGGGGGGGGAGAAACACTACAATAAGCACAATACACAGTATTTGTATGGTACCGTGTTCATCCAAAACGGAGCTATCTCGTGGTTACTCAACAAGTAGCTTCAATCCAAACCGACCCCCTTTTTTAATTGAGTCCAATACATTAAATATTATTCCCATATCTATATATCTACAAGAATTAATTTTAAGGCCCCAGGATGGACCGGGCTGCGAGACATTGGGAAAATGTTTTGTTAAGTGTTAAGATTGGGGCTTAATCAGGTACCCAATTTACTGAAAATGGATTATAGTGTGGAGGATTAGTGAATACGTAATTAAATTGCTCTTAAGACTCAGTTGATGCACTTCTGTAACAAAACAAGTTTGCACTTCACTAATATGGTTAATAAATGTAATGTCAGTTTAAAAATTTTACAAAATGTGTTCATTTCATCTGCAAACTATGAATAATATTACTACATATAGGATATTCAGCAATCCCTCTCCCAGACCTCACTGGATAGCCAAAATAAAAATTTTCCCAGACAGTAAACATAAACTGGGCCACACAATAAAACTAGAATTTTGATAAAAACCAATGAAGCAAAGAATTTAACATTATTTACTATGTTCTGTTCACTTTCACATTGAACAAAATCTATTGAAATATTAATTCTGCCTCAAACATTAAAGTTATAATTTGGGATAAAACATTGGCACTGGATTCAACTTTTCATTCCAAAACACTGCCACAAAGCTCTGCATCACATGTCAAGTCTCAGATTAAACAATTTTATGCAAGAGTTTTGTAAATAAATTCAACATACATTAAAAAAAAAAACAACTCAAACGGTTTGTGATTTAAATAAAAAAAATGTATATGTACCGTATTTCATAAAATGTTACTGGGGAAACTAAAAGAGCCCGCTGTGGATCATGAGGTGAGTGTATTGTGGAACGGTTTGTGATTTAAATAAAAAAAATGTATATGCACTTTGTTTTCTCTAATAAAAGTGTAACATTTTACGGTACCACAATACACTCACCTCATGATCCACAGCGGGCTCTTTTAGTTTCCCCACACCGCTGCCCTCTGTGACTTGAATCGACACGTTGGCGGCATGGGATGCATCAGGAGCACCACCGAGGCCCGGCCCCCAGAGACACACAAAAATGATGAGGCAAGTTACTGGAAAGTTTTAAAAAGTGATAATTAACACTATTATAAAATTTTAACGGTATGATCAGGTCATGGTGGGAAACATTACATCGTATCAATGTTGACTAGAGCTGGGCAATAAATTACATATATCAATTAGTGTCATGTAAAATAACCAACTAACTTCTGATTATTCCAGCTATCCAGTAATCACAATATTTCCATTTACACAACAAGCCATCCCCTGCCTACCTCAAGTATCGAAACCAGATTCTTATCTATACATTTTGTGAGAATAAACAATAAATTAAACGTAATACATTAATGAGCCTGATGATTACTTAATTAACAATTTTGACCAACCATCCAGCTCTATCATCCACGCATAACATATGGGTGTCAGACCTTGATCTTAACTTCGGAAAGCATTAGCAAATGAGTCAAGACAAGTTGATGTTTTCCCATGCACTTCTTCAACATTATAAAAACATTATTTCAGCTGATTAAAAGTTACTGGCTTGTCAGAATAGTTACTATCTAAACATAAACGTACAGATTTAAATACTTTCTTTTCTTCCAATGTATATACGAGTATTTCAGCATCACAGCCCCAAATACTGTTCCATGCATAACAAACTGTGTAATACCTAGGAAAGTTATTCTGAAAATTGTAATCTGATATACAAAAATTACTTTTTTTAAATAATTCTTGGTTTTTCTATAATAAGGTGTCTATACAGGAATATTTTCCTTTGCATCTCAACCTAGGTCTATTTGACAGCCGAGAGCACATACAATTACTATATACGGCAGCACGTTCAAAGTTATTCTGACCTCACTTGTTTTACCACAGGATCGGGAGGACTAGCTTTCTGAATAATTATCAGATTAATTCAAGAAAGTAAAATACAGGAGTTAAAATAAATAATGTTAAAAGATCTTTACCTTAACCAAGATCTGTTGCTATACAAATTTAAAGAAAAATTACATTTCACAAATGTAGTCCAGTTAACACTAAGAAAAGTAGCCAATATAAATAATGTCGCAACCACTACTATGCAATATCCCAGCTGCCCTACAGAGCCCTGGCATTTGGTAAAATGTCTCATCATTAATGGATATATAGTTGCGCATTATACTCTACTCTTACTTGCTTTCACCTAGAAGTTCTTATTAAAAACAAAACGTAGAGTGACACTTCATTTTTCTCAGCACAACACGTATCACATTTACATACATCATGTGGAGTTACGATCTGAATGGTGCATAGGTCAAAGAGCTGATATAACAAACAGGCAGTTCAGCCATTGAGCAATTGCTGGGACCCATGTAGCAAACCCTTAGCAACAGAATATATTTGGAAACTGTTTCCATGAAGTCAACATTTATTTGGAGTAGCCTAAAGAAGGCCTCAGTATGGCTACATTGTTTTTAGTAGGCAGTGAACATCCATTAAAGTTTTCATGAAGTATGGCTAGAAGTTGTTTGGAGTAGCCTAAAGAAGGCCTCAGTATAGCTACATCGTTTTCAGTAGGCAGTGAACGTCCATTAAAGTTTTCACGAAGTATTGCTAGAAGTTGTTTGGAGTAGCCTAAAGAAGGCCTCGGTATGGCTCCATCGTTTTCAGTAGGCAGTGAACGGCCTCAGTATAGCTACATCATTTTCAGTAGGCAGTGAACGTCCATTAGTTTTCACGAAGTATTGCTAGAAGTTGTTTGGAGTAGCCTAAAGAAGGCCTCGGTATGTCTCCATCGTTTTCAGTAGGCAGTGAACGGCCTCAGTATAGCTACATCATTTTCAGTAGGCAGTGAACGTCCATTAGTTTTCACGAAGTATTGCTAGAAGTTGTTTGGAGTAGGCAGTGAAAGTTTTCAAACCTGCTGCAAGTGAAGTAACGATTTTAAGTTTGTAAAACTTTACCTTCTAGCAATACTTCACTTAGGATCTTGTAATATAAAATGACAAGTGTACCGATACTCAACAGTAAGAATCTTCCTAGTGTCTTTGAAAGTTTTACTAACCAAGCTGCAATATTAAATAAGCAACTTTATAGTCTGCTAGCATTATTCAAACTGTGACACGTACACAAATAAACATCTTCCACACAAAAAGACAGATTTATATCATTATGGCCATGTGCCAAAAATTTGTTGTTTTACCTTACTTTCCAGATTTGCTACATACACAGATTGTTTCATAATCCTACCTAATGAACACTTCAGCTTGTAATATTGTTAAAGTGGGCAAATTAAAACTTCTGAAGATGTAAACTTCAGATTACAAAAAAAAGGATATTGCAATTTAATAACAGACAAAATATAGCATATTTATAAGAGAATATGCAATCTATCAAGTATAAAGAATTAGATAATTCTCACAAAATCAAACAGAATGGCTGACAAACTAATACAGTTAAATGCACGATTTGTGTGTACCTGCAGGTAAAAAGTAGGGCACAATATTTTCCAGACTTCACCACTTCTTCAAATGATTATTTTTTCCAGGTTCAAGTATGGTTACAGCACAAAAACGAACACACAAAGAGCACATTTATAATAAAAGTTACACCCTAGAAGCACTAATTAAAGTTTTAAAACTTTAATATATCTGAATTAGGTTTTATTCTTTCAACTATTTGTTTCAACAGATGTAATTACATGTTTATAAACCCCCAGACCAAACAAGTCATGTAAGTATACATCTTCATATTTCTCTTGCAGGTTGTATGGAAGATTATTAACATCAGCTGTTATTGTTTTGTTTACAGAACCACCAATAACACTTCAAGGGCAACGCAGTGTTAAGTGGCAACGCTCCAAATACCTACTCTGTTCTCCTGCAGAGTACTCAGGAATTAACTTTTATTTATAGACATCCAGAAAAAACTCTTTACGTCATTCAGTTTTAACTAAAAATATTTGACTTGTGTACAAGAGCTTTTATAAACAGAGAGATAAACACCATACCATTGTATATACATTTTCAACATATTACAGATCAGGGCTTATATCGACAGTAATCTACCTTCTCATATAATATTTCACAAAATTAAAATTTGGAACCTTTACAAATTATGAACACGCTTTCTTAGGGACCTGTCAATAACCTGAAAATTTAACTCTTAATATTTCTACAAGTAGGTTCTTAGCTTTATTAACTGTAGTCACTATAACTAAACCCTTCCAATGACTAAAGCATGCTTGAATCCACATTAAAATATATGCATGTGCAAGGTGACAGAAGTTCATTCAATTCAAGGAAAAAAAAATTTTTCAAATTATATTTTCTCTTACTTATTTTACGGAACAAATCCTCAAATTCATAAGACAATTTGCTGAAGAAAGTCCAAGTTTAATCTTCAACATCTTAAATTGGATTCCTCAAAATTTTTATTCAAAAAAAAGCAGACAGATTATCCAAACCTTAATTTGAATGCCCAAATCATGTTACTGTTAGATCTCCTATGTTAGAGAAGACAGTTCTATAGTTAAGCCTATAATATAGATTAAGTTACCAAAAGCCTGATATTCTACTAAATAGAACATGTACTCTCTCTAGTGTTTAATTCTTACTTTAGAAAAATGTTCAAACTGACACACACACACACACACACATTCTGTAATAATGGACCTAAAACTACTCTCTCTGCAGCTTTTAGAAGTATTTAAATTTTTTCTGTAATATTAATATTACACTCAAAACTACTCAAAGTCATACCTAAATCTACAATCTCTACCCAGCCTAGTGTTATGAATAAAACAAAGAATAGAAACTTACATTATTACTTTTTTTTTTAATTGTGAGTGTTTATAAAAATTAATTGCCAATACTTTAGTTTTGTTTAAAAATTAAATAACTGTTCAAACATGCAATTCTTTTGTTTGTTATTTTTCACTCAAATGTCGAAGTTAGAACATCTCCAAGATTTCAAATCAAATTTGGAACAGAATATCCAGCTCAATTAACATAAGATGATAAAATTAAAATATACTGTACATTTCGGCTAAAGCACCAAATTATGAAGAAAAAAAAAGGGAACAGTACAATCTATTATACAATCTACTTTATACTAGTTACTACTAATTGATAAACTGCAAAATGCAGTTATAACTTATATACTGTGGCTAATGAATATCATTAGTTAATTAAAATCGATGAAACTGAATACAGATATATATAGACTTCCAACATAACATGACATCTTAAACATTTTCGTTTTCAAATTATTATGATTTTCCCGTCATTGTATCTAATTCAAAACCAATAATAATTTATATCAATGATAAACTTGAATAACCTTAAATTATAAAAGTCTAGCTTATTTACTGATTCTTTGATCTTGATGTGGTTATTTATACCACTTCTATTGCTTTGATCGTGCCACTAAAATAAGAAGAAAAAAAGGAAGTTTCGTAAAGTTATATTTAAAATTTAAATTAGGTATCCGAGTTGTAAGCCTACATTTTACAAATCCAAAATGGCGTCCTAAACGTAACCCAAAAGTTATGACGTCACAGACAACAGCTTATACTCATGTATCGATACATATTCTAAATATCATTTTACATGTACGATATTTATATACATATAATCTCTGTTGCACTTACTTCATGTTTTCAAAATTACTACTAATACTTGGCATTGTAGCTTCTGGACTTCGTAAAGTTAACAGTGCTTCTTTAGCAGTAAGACTCATGCCTCACTAACTCCTTCTCCAGCTTCTCTAACTCTACTAAATGAAATATTTTACTGCGACCTATTTTAAGCAGCATCTGACGTCATGATTTGCACATCTTGACTTTAATTCGGCCATCTGTCGACTGATATATATATATGAAACAAAAATATCCATAACATAAAATGAGAAATCCAATACGCTTACACAAAAACGTCGATTTAATAGCTAATATAAACACTATTTACTCTCATTGTTAATTCAAGTTAATAAATTGTATTGGAAGTTATTTTGAAATGACCACCATAAAGTTACATTTAAATTTGAGTATGAGTTCAGAAAATACTACCAAGGAATCTAATAGGTTAGTGTAGAAAGTACGTAGGTAAGCGTTGCACAGCATTACAATGGATCTGGAGATATGCGCTCCGTATCCGAAATTTTTCGTCCCCCAGTGTGTCAGTGGTAAGTTTACGAACTCTGGCCTTTGTCGGTGTTTAGTCATTGTGTGCGACCTGGGAGGGTCAGGTTCAATTCAAACCTTTCCTCCCTACTTTGCTATTGTTTATAAAATACGAAGTTATCCAAGAAATCAGTAAACTCTAATGTATGACGCTGCGTAATACTGGTCTTACTTTCCTCTTCAGGGCCATGTCCATGATTACACTATCTATAGCATCTAGCCCCCTCCCTCAGCGGCACAGCGGTATGTCTGCGTACTTACAACCCTATAAACCGAGTTTCGATGGCCCATTGTGTAGCTTTGTGTTTAACTACAAACAAACTATAGTATTTAGTGCTATTTTACTGTTTCTCTTAATTTGGTTGTATACACTCGCAAACAGTTTCATAATAAAAAGTTACTTTTCACTAGAAATAATTAACAATTCGTGTATTTCAGATTTATAAAAAAAAAAAACTTTTAACTACACAAATGATACTTAATTCTGAGCGATATGTTAATGTCTGGCATTGGCGGCCGCTTTATTATAGTAAACATTAAGAGGGGAGAAGTATTTAGGGCTATGATCACCATGTATGATATAGCGATCTACTGCGGTTAGTAAGTCATTTTTATATAAATTTTTATCAATGTAACGGAAAGAGCAATCTACGAGGCCTTCTTTGATTGGTTTTATGTTTGCGTATTTATGCATAAAATTTGTATTTGTTGATCTTGGTACTCTGAAGGCTATGGTGATTCATCCGCTCTGTATGATCTGTATGATACTGGTCTAATGTATTGTTTGTAAATTGTTATCATAGATATAAAGGACATTAGATTGGAAGTCACGTGATTTTCGTCATGCACAAGCGGCCACCATTGCTATGTGTTGAACTTTCCAAGTTTGGTTTGTTTTGTTTGGAATTTCGCGCAAAACTACACGAGAGCTATCTGCGCTATCCCTCCCTAATTTAGACTAGAGGGAAAGCAGCTAGTCATCACCACCCACCGCCAACTCTTGGGTTACTCTTTTACCAACGAAAAGTGGGATTGACCGTCACTTATAACGCCCCATAGCTGAAAGGGCGAGCATGTTTGGTGTGATGGGGGATTCTAACCCGCGACCCGCAGATTGCGAGTCGAGCGCCCTAACCACCTGCCATGCCTGACTAAACTTTCAAAGCCCGCCAGTCGAACTGACAATGGCAAGGCAATCTCACCTCACAACTCATGGCCATTTACCACCTAAACTAGACGTTTGGATAATTTGATTTGATTTTAATAAACTTGTCAAGTCAAGATGATTTAAACCTGATTTTAACTTAGAAAGTAGTGCAAAATGTTGTTCACAAAACACACACACACATCTGACCTGTCATATGAAGAATGCATTGGATTTTTAGCCCAGAAAGAAATCTTAAGATCTGTTCTTTTTCCTCGGTATTTATTATGTGTCACATAGAAATATACATCTCAAATAATGCTGCTAATGGACAAGAGGTGGCGTATCATGTCCTTTTATGTGTGTGGGGGAGAGAGAATGTTATTTATGTATTTGCTGTTCCTCCAAACATTCAACATTCTCCATTGAAATGGGTGAAAATAATTAAGAAACTTTATGTTATAAATGTAATAAAATTCATTCGGATTTATTTGATAATTTGTGGCAAAAACTGATGCAAATGTTTGAAATATATATACAACATAAAGTCCAAAAGAAGTAACATAAATCATTACACCTATTTCATCAACTATGCATTACCTATACCGTACTAGATCTAAAGACAATACATTTAGCAATGTTACTCTTTTAAAGACCCCCTTTTCCTCTTTTTTACCGAGTTATGACCGAATGTTCTCCTCCCCTTCCTTCACCTACTACTAGATATGTGTGGATCTTCCCTCAAAATGGTCTCTGCGAGGATTGCTACAACCCTCCCAGCTTAACTCATGTACAGTTTCTTATTGTAAAGAAAAAAATAAAGAATTCCTCATGAAACTGTAAATTTATCATCTTGGTGAAACTAAGTTTAAGATATTTCACAATATAATTGTTCTGTAATCAGAATAAAATCTACTAACATTCTCCTCATTAGAACAGTGGCTCTCAAGATCACCCTGCGATTAGGACCTAATATCAATCCCCATAGTGTGATTCACCTTTGGATATCGACATAACAAAGTCAGGTTACTTAATCAATCAAAACATTTGATTTTACATAACAATCATACATTACCGATGTAGTACAAGACATGTGCTGACTACATCATGAAAATAGTGTTTACATTTGATCTGATATATTTAACTGATGAGGACTTCAGAAAAGTATGACAAGTTCTGAAATTACAAATGAACTGTATTAAAGCGTCCATGATGGGAAAATATACTGGTCATAGAAATTTAGGTATGTACATGGTAATTTATGGTAACGTGTCTCATATGTTTTAATTATTTAAGTACATAACCATAAAGTTGACCTGTTTAAAACTTACAACTTTATTTCACATGAAAGTTTATATAATAATGGTTCTTTTTCAAATTGTATAAATTTACAGTTGTTCAATAATTTTACTATACCAGCATTTATAAAAACAAATCAAAAGGTTGAAATATAAATCCAATTTTCCCTCAATACTTTTTTTCCCCAGAAAACAGCCAGGTGAGTAATGTATGACAGGGGGTAATTTCACAAATCTTACAAACATGATTAAGTAAAGAAACACCAAGGACATAGGCCTAACTTTTCCAACTGAGCACAATACACTACAGTGGGTTAGTTTCAAGATCACCGCAGGAATATATTTATCTACAGCATAATCAACAATTTTCACCATTAAATGTACGATTCATAATTATATGCTATCCAAATTCTACTATTTCATGTGAGACTCATTTCTGCAGCACTTTGTTTTCATGTGAACATGTAAATACACAATCGGCAATGTGCAAAACATTTAGACATCTAATACACTTAACTGATATTTCACACATACATTACTATTAAATTCAATAAAATAGAAAGGCATGTACCTATATACTGTAGTAAAACTAGGCTTACTCTGTTCTAAGTACTCTTCTCTCTCTATATATATTGTTTCGTCTCTGGTCGTTTGATAATTTCCCGTAGAAATTCTTTCCGAGAAACTCCAGCGATACAAGTCCTTTCTTAATTAAAACTAGTTTATTCTTTCTCGTTACAACCTTTGTAATACACTTAATTTCCATAGTCACTTTAACTTAAACACACGCTATAATTCACAACGATTCACACAATTTACTTACGGTCACTACCGCTCACTTGACTCAATTATCTGTCTCTATCTGCTATCCAATTCCGATTCAGTTATCTCGCTTTATTTGCCTGCTTATATATTGGAATAGAGGGCGCGTAGAGAAGACTAGAGTTGCCAGGAACAGACATGATCGTTCTAGAATCTCATGGCGTGTTACTAGCGTCACGTGACTTCCGCTGTCGTAACAATATGTATATCACAGCTACATTAATGTATTTCCGTTTGTTTGTTCTTCAAGCAACACAAAATATTATAGGTCGTCAAAAAATTAATGTCGTTTTTTAGATGAAAAAACTCGAACAACTTATATATCAAAACAAAACCTTTATTAAATGAAATAGTCTCCATTCTTATCGATGATGCTTTTCCATCTTACAGTCAGGTTGTTGATACCCTGATTAAAGAAATCACTAGGCTTTGAAGCAAAAACATGTCGATGACCTCTTAAACATCTTCCACATTTGCATACGTTTTCCCATAAAGATTGAGTTGCAGCGTACGAAAAAGATGGT